AAGCATTTGCTGTAAAATAAGTATGAGAACTTTGCAAAGTGGATGGCTATAAAACAAATATTACAAAATTCAATAGCTTTTGTCTACTCTGTCAACAAATACAAAGAAATTAAAATTGAAAAAATAGTCTATTTGTGGTAGAGGCAAATGATTAATGACAAAGAAAAGATTTAATGAAACTACAGAATTTTACTAAAAAAAAACATTGAAAATGTAATGACAAAACCATATTCTTGAATAAGAAGACTCACAATATTAAAAAGACTTAATATTACCAAAAATGTCAATTCTCCTAAAATCAGTATATAGACATAATGCAGTTCCAATTAGAATCCTGTTGGGATTAGAACTGAATGAAAGTATCTTAAAGTTTATGTAGAATAACTAACTGCCTGTGAAAGTTATAAAGATTAGAGAGAGAGAAACCTTACTCGGTACATCTCAGAGCCTTGGGGTTAATGGTAAATAAAATTATCTTAAAGCTGAAATGAAAGAATAACTGCTTGCAAATATATATTCAAAAAATAAGAATATCGTTGTTTGTACAGTGCCATTAAAAAAAGAAAAAACAGAGGAACAGAAGAGAGTAATACAGAGAATTAATAGTTGCTAGTCCAGATGGTTCCTAATTCCTGACTTAGCAATGGTTTGATTTTTCTTCTGACTTCATGATAGGTTTATCAGGACATAACACCACAGTTAAGTTGAGGAGCTCCTTACAATTTATCTTTTTTACAAAAGATAAGCTCCTTTACAATTTATCTTTTTTACAATAAGATAAGATTACTGTTTCTTTTTTTTCTTGTTAAATTTCAGGTTAATGTGAGGGTACAAACCACTAGGTTATAATGTTTGCATTTGTTAGGTAGAGTCCTCTTGTAGTTGTGTCCTGCACCCAAGAGGTGTGCCATATACCCTTACATTGTGCCCATTAAGGGGGGGACCCATTCCCCTTCCTCCCTTGCTCTCTCCTCCCTCATTTCCCCACACCTCAACTTGAATTGAATTCAGTTTTTCTCTTCTGTGGGTGGGTATTAGTTCCTCTACTGTCTTAATGTGAGTATTGGTTCATTGGATACTTGCTTTTCCATCCTTGTGATACTTTACTAAGAATGTGTTTCAACTCCATCCAGGTTAATACATTTATGGCTGAAGAGTGTGTTTTGTGGTGTACATATACCACAGTTTGTTAATCCATTCCTGGGTTGATGGGCATTTAGGTTGTTTCCACATCTTACTGATTGTAAATTGAGCTGCAATAAACAATTTAGCATTGGTGGGACGGCAGACTAATGTAGCCTCTTTGTAACGAAGTATAGAGAATCCTCAAAGAACTCAAATTAGACTTCCCATTTGATCCTGCAATCTCACTGATACAGGGCGGGTGGTGCACCAGCCAGCTCAGCCAAGTTGAGGGGAGGACCTGCTGTCTCTGCCCTGGCAGTGTTGGTGCGGTGGCAGCCGGCAGAGCAACCAGCACTGGGTTGGCAGTGGGGGTGGGGGGGTGGGGAGGGAGGCGGCAGCAGGAGGCTCCAATAACCAGAGGGACCAAACAAACTGCTGGGGAGACACCAGCGTCTTAGTGTCTCCCTCCCCTTGTTCTAGCCCTGAAGGAGGACCCCTCTCCCCAATTTCCTAGGCCTGGTCAATTTCATGTAAGTTTCCGAGGCCTGCCAAATTTCAGGAATGGCCTGTATCCATTCATTCACATATTCATTTACCTTGCCCCAGCTTTAGGGTAATGTATCCATTCATTAATGCGTTCATTCACCTGGACCCTAGTGGAAGGGACTGTATCCATTCATTATTGCACTCATTCATCTTACCCTAGCTGAAGGGACTATATCCATTCATTTGTTACTACCCAGTCCTGGCCTAACGTAACTACAAAGGACCCAAGTGACTATATATCCCCCTAGACAAAAAACCCAGGAAGAGACAGAAACCCTTCTTTTCACTTGAATTTTTCTCTCTGCCAGGAGCTCTGGTGTTTTTCTCTATTCTTTTCTGTAAAATAAATCCTGTCTTACCACTGATCCGTGGTCCGTGGATTCATTCTTGGAATCCTAGAGACCAAAGCCTACTAAAGAAGAAATTCCGGTGTCATCGTTACTAGGCATCTACCCAGAGCTTAAGGTTTCTACTGAATGGATATTGCTTTTACATCACTATAAGGTCAGCAAATTATAAGTTGAACTCGGGTCCCCCTCTAAAGTTTGTGCAGCAGCGGGGCCCCCTGCCTGCCATGACACAGCTGGGGACACATCAGCATCAGGAAGCCAGGTGGCCTGAATGGGATGCAGCCTGGTGCCTACAGTGCGAGCTGTGATGGCTTATGGCGAGGTCAGTGGCCTCAGTGACCACTATGGCTTCACTGCTGACCAGGTGGGGAGAGTTAACTCCTGTCTCTCCAGGATGGATGACCACAGATACAGAGAAGGCAAATTTGCAGTGCAGGAGAGCCACACCACCGGCCACTGCGTCCACTGAACAAAGCCACCGAGAATGACATTTACAACTTCTCTCCACTCAACCCTCTGAGAGTGCAGATAGCAACTGGCTCAGATGGAAGAGAAACCTATGAAGCTGATGTGGAGTTTGCCACTGAATAAGGGCTGTGGCTATGCGGAAAGTCAGGGCCACCCGGCAGTGCGCAAACCTAGAGGTCAATCCACAGCAGGGGCTGGCACCGGACATGCGCGGCGGGGGTAGCTCAGGCCCAGAGGGGCAGCGGGGCACAACAGCCTGGCTGGATGCCACTAGTTTTGGAGGAAGTTTTAATTTTTTCAATCAAATTTTCACAGGCAGCCAATAAGCAGTGAAGAGCAGTTTTACCTCTAGAAGAAGCCACGGGGACCCATTTTGCACCATGAGTCTGCGAAAGCTGGATTTAAAAAATTACCTCTTTAGTGTTTTCTCATGCGAACTTTTCTTATAGAAAGTGATACTGAGTAAACTAAAACTACATTGAGCTTTTCTCAATTAATAATTTTGGGAGGATACTTCCGAGTGAAGTAATTTAAGTATATGAAATATGGACCTTTTGTCCCCACATCACAGTGAACACACTGAAGAGAAGTGGGTTTTTTTTTTTTTTTGAAAAATCAAAGGTGCTAGCTCCCCCGTTCAAAAAGAAATATTTCTCATGTTCTTCATTCTAATTTTCTTCACTTAAAGTCTTCTAGGTGAAGTTTAAGCTTTTTAAGAGTTAGTTTTAAGAACTGAGACAATACTAATCCTGTAGGAACTGGTGAGGCCTTCACTTGAAATTTTCTTTATATTGTGGTTCTTCTTTTGAGTATATTTTGATAAGTAAAACTTGTTAAGTTTTTTGTTAACTAGTTCTTTTTTCTTAAAATAAAGATATTTTTCACACAGAAGAAATTGTAAGTTGAACTATGGTAAGTTGGGGTCTCTGCTGTGTGGCTAGCATAAGATGCATTTTTTGACTTAGTTTCAAATTCGGATTTTATCGAGATATAACTCCACTGTAAGTCAAGGAACATCTGTATATATAAAATTTTAACATATGACAAGCAATAATTCTATTTAGTGGGAAAAGGATGGATTATTTACTATATAGTACTGATATAACTGGAGGTCCATTTGGAAAAGAATAAATCTAAACCCCTACATCTCATACTATAGTAAAAATTAATTCTCATTCTTCTTAGCAAAATATCACAAGAATGGAGAAGCAAGTATCCAATGTTCTCAATTCTAATATGAAGCCAGTAGATGACCTAATACACGCTCACATAGGAGAAAAACTCAACTCAAGGTGGGGGGCAGGGAACAAGGGAGTGGGGAGGGGGAATGGGTGTGCTCTCACTTAATGGGCACAATGGTGGGGTGTATGTTCTTGGCAGAGGGACAACTACAAGAGGGACTCTACCTAACAAATGCAAACATTGTAGCATAGTTGTTTGTACCCTCATGTTAACTTGAAACAATAAAAATAAATAAATAAAATGGTTAATTTTATATGAAAGAAATAAATTCTATATGTATTAATGACTTAAATGAAACAAAACAGGACTGTATGTAGTACTTAGAAATGGGATTGCTTTAAGCAAGACTAGCCATAAGCAATGAAAGATATTTTAATCATAGCAAAATAGAGAACTTTGATACTGTGAAATTTACCATTAAAAAGATAACAGGCAAATCATAATTAGAGAGAATTGACTATAGAATGTAATTAACATTTATACTACACAAAATGCTCCTAAAACTTATCAGGGAATAAACAAAATGTGTGTGCAAAATACACAATGGGATACTATTCAGTCAAAAAAAGAATGAAATCCTATTATTCGCAGCAATGTGGATGGAACTGCCTATAATGGAGGCCATTACGTTAAATGAAATAAACCGGAAACAGAAAGTTAGACACCTAGGACCTAAAGTTCCTTATGGTTAACCCAGGGATTAGGTTATTGGCAAAGATAGTTTCTAAATGACTGTTGGGCGTTCAGCTGCTGATGCTCAGAACACTTCCATTCACTGCTAACATTAATTTTCCTAAACCACTGTTTTTATATCATTTCCCGATTACCAATTTGTAATGATTCCTTACTGTTTTCAGGTAAAAGTGCAAACTCCTCTGAGATAGAGACACGTTTAAAAACTTTGCCCAGGGTGCCCCAAACACAATTTTTAATCTTCACATTTGGGGAAATGAAGGATTGCCTAAAAATTTGGATTTACCTTTAGAAGAAAAACACAGATATACCCAAGTAAATTCCACTGTTTTTCTGAAATTTTACTTTGTAGTTGAAATGTGCTTCAGACCCATCACTCTAAATGGCAAATTGGAAGGAGTGATAGCAAAGACTGATGACAGACGCAGTTACCATCGTAGTTAGTAATAAATAATTAGGCGTATTTACAGATGCAAAATAAATCAAGATTTTCTTGCAATTATAAGAAAAACATTAGACATTTCCTTATATAGCTATAAAGCTAGCTGCTAAAACAGCAAAAAGAATTTTCTTTACCTAGTACTTCTTTTTGTAAATCATAGCATCTGGTCTGCAAGTTTACTTCCTGTTGTTTGGATGTCTGAATCTGCTGAGACCTCAGTATGGCTGCATCTGACAGTAACTTCAGATTTTTCACTTCCTCTTCAAGACATATCTTATTTTTCTGGAACACTGTCAAAGTTTTATTTAGCGTGTTTATTTCTGTAAAGAAAATTCAAAGTTCACGAATAGGTAACACTGAATCATAAAACATTTCTCCAAAATTTGATTAATTCCTTTTGGGAAATTAATAGTGGAAAGCTCAGATGACTTTTCTGAGATTATAATGACACCTAGCCGAAAAGTTAAATTTAAATTCAGTAGCCATTCTGTAAAAGAAATGAGAAAAGTATTGCTTAATGATGAATGGACTTGTTTCGTTATTTCTTAGCCTTTCAATTGTAGTCAGTGACAAAATAACCTGTGTTTTAAACACTCACATAAAAAACCTATCGTCTGCATAGTGACCAGGGTTTTACTGAAATTACATTGTTTTCTTGGCAACACATATCAAAAAAGTAAATTTAAATGTCCTAGTCTGAACAGGGTGGGTAGCATCACCTCTAAAAGAGCGACTAGGATACATTCTATACAAACTATGAAGAAAAGTGGTCGGAGTAGGGAGGACTAGAAGGATGCAAGGTCTAAAACTCAGACATTTCTGGGCGGAAAGCATTAGTTCATATATCTCGTCAGTCTAACAGTACTCTGTGCCCCCAAAATAAGACCAGACTTTGTCACAGCAGTTATTTGTCATTATTCTATTTATATCAAGTTTAATAAAAATCTGTCTTCACAGCTCTACACAGGTTTAATCTAATTTTGTGAGAAATGTATAGAGCACGTTTTTTATCCTTCAGAATGATAATTATCAATGTCCCCTTTATCAGTCTTTTCTGCACAACTGCTTTAAGCTATCATAAAATTACAAGAACACACACACATCAATGATAAAATACAGTCTGTACAACCACAATTAATTGAATTGATGAGGACGTGATCTACATGACAATCGGGATGGTTTGCTGTTCCAGAGGGTTCACTTGACATCCTGTCTTTGGTTCGCCCATCCCGACTGGGCTGTGTGACAGGTTGAGTGTGTGACTGGGTATCAGGACAAGTGGGCTTGGGTTATTGCTCCTGGAGCCACCAGAGCAAAAATAGCAGCCCTGTGGGTCAGTGAAGACCAGAAGTAAAGAGCAATAGGACAGACATGGCAGCAGAGGCAATAAGGACAGCAAATGGTTACGGAAGCAAAGCAATGAGCTAGAATGGGACACAAAAAAGAGCAGGACTTTTCTTTTTTTTTTTTTTCAGACAGAGTCTTGCTCTGTCACCCTAGATAGAGAGTACAATCATATTGTCATAGCTCACAGCAACCTCAAACTCCTGGGCTCAAGTGATCCTCCTGCGTCAACCTCCCATGTAGCTAGGACTACAGGTGTGTGCCACAATGCAAGGCTAATTTTTTACTTTTAGCAAAGACAGAATCTGGATCTTGCTCAGATTGGTCTTAAACTCCTGACCTCAATCTATCAATCCATCTAGGCCTCTCAGAGTGCTAGTATTAGAGGTGTTAGTCACTGCCTCTGGTCCCTGAGAGCTTGACTTAAGAGATTGTGATGGACAGGATCAGGAATGAGGTCTAAGGAGAGAAAGCAAAGTGTCTTTTCATGGGTAGAAAGTACAGCTGGGAGAAAAAGTGGCATTTATGACAGGCATGAGCATGATGTGAGCACAGGGATCTGGCACCTTCTACCTTTTTAGCTCCTGCTCAAAATGGAAAACCTGGAGAAATTAATTGGCAGGGAGCAAATAAATGGGCATCTATAGTAATTCAGTGATTTGGTGGGAGTTTTTCTCCCTAAAAATATCTGTGTGCTAAAGTTTTAAAAAGAATGCAGTTAAAGAAAATAAGATTATAGTTTCCCTTCTGATCTAAGAAATCTTTCTGGGCATTTCTGTGTAGCCATAAAGGTGACTTCATAGGACTGGAGAAACCATACCCCACTGTGCCCATATCTGTCTGTGTTTAAGTCAGAATGACACCGCAGAGCAGCACACACATGCTGTCACCTATTCATTGTCTGCCAAAATGACACCGCTTAGGATAGTAAGCTGACTCTTTTAATGTACACTACACTCTAAAATAACTATTCATGTCAATGTGACTTTCTATCTGACATTAAAAGAATAAGAATCTGTAATACAAATTTATTTGTAAAGTATATTCTAACACATGGGAAGGTGCAATAAGATTTCAAAACTAGTAGGAGGTGCAACATTGCTAACACGGAGGAAGGAAAAAGCAAACTCAATACAAGTGAATTCACTCACTTAACGCTGCTGTACCTATGGCACTACTGGTGTCAAAGATTCTGCCTTCGCCTTTATACAATTTCATACTTGTCGATCACAGTGCCCCAATTTAGGGTTCAGAAATGATGACCCAAAGCAGGTCAACCTATACTGGCCATTGTAACCACCCGGGCTTTCCCTGCCTCACACCACTCCGTAAGGAAGGTCCTGCTATCCTCATACTTTCAGCCAACGACGGCTCAAGGGCTACCTCTGCCTAGAAATCTTTTCTGACCTGCTGTGGATGGGACCTTGATTTTCCTGGAAAGCACAACAATTTGCACCATTTGTACTGCACTGATGAGCTGCGTACATGTGATCTACTATTGGATGGTAAATTATTTTAGGCTGGACCCAGGATCTTACTTGTTTTTGTTCCCCCTATCATTTCTACAATAATGCCCTAGAGTTGAGAGAAGCTCAACAAATACCTACTAAAGGAATAAAGGCATTGTTGAGTAAAGCTTCTAAATTAGTGTCTCACACACCACTAGTTGAAGACCCTATATGGGATTATCTCAACCTTCATTTCTGTGGCAGACATTTAGGGCCCCATATTTTTTGCTGTCAGAGTAGGTTAGGGAGTTAGAAGAAGAAAAAAAAATTAATAGGATAAGAAAATAGGCCTATTTTATCCCTAACCTCATCAATTTTGTAAAAAATGTGGACTACTAAGTCTAATTCTAGATTTGAATTTTAAAAGATTACGAGCCATTTGGTCAATAATTGTTTGGGCATGAAAACAAATTTGATTTTTCACCTGATCAATATTCCACCTTGGTTAAAAAAAATTATTAAAATAAATATGCTCTGGTTTAAGACAATCTAACCCATGAACCTTTAAATTTAAAAATATTGATTACATACGACAATACGCACTCACTAGCAGACCAGGAAGTACTTCTCTGGGATCTGCTATTCAGCGTCCGCATGCATTATCAGCAAGACAATACTAAGTGATGCCTTTTCCTAAGAGTATTGTTTCTGTTTTGGACTGTAATTTTAAAACCTAACTTAATTTTAATGTGCAACTCTTTTGAAGTAGCTGAATAATACTGTGTATGTGTATGGGGTTTACTTTCTTTACTGGTTTGCTAGGACTGCTGTGAGAAGGTACCACAGACTGGGTGGCTGATGTGGCAGAAATGTATTTTCTCACAGTTCGGAAGGCTCCAAGTTTGAAATCAGGTGTCAGCAAGATTGGCTCCTTCTGCTGTAGAGGCAGTAAAGAAAGCATCTGTTCTGTCTTTGGCTTATCCATGGATGCCTTCTTCCTGTGCCTTCACATGTGTCTGTCGGTGTCTAAGCACAGAGTTCCTCTGTTTGTGTAAAATTTGCTTCTCTGGCTATTGCTTTTCTGGAATATGCCCTCATGTCTCATAGGCTAAGTCTTCCTTGATCTCTGCCATCTGGTCTTCAGAACAAACAGATATTAGTTTTCTATCACATTTCCAGCTTCCCTCTCTGCCTGAAGCAAGCTGTACCTTGCCCTCAGTCCAAGGGCCTTAAAAAATTAAAAAGGAGTTTACCTACTGTCATGCCTTTTTTTTAGTATTTCTAAACAATTTTTAAATATGTTTCTTACAGCGGCTTTAGGGTCATAGGAAAATTAAGCAGAAAGTCCAGAAAGTTCCCTTATACCCCCAACCCCGTATGCATGACCTCCCTGCTATTGTACTAACACCCTGCACTAGAGTGGTACATTTGTTACAACTGATGAATCAGCACTAACATTTTGTGAACACCCCAAATTCACAGCTTCCACTAGAGCTCACTGACGGTGGTGTGCGTTTGATGGATTTTGACAAATGTGTAATGACATGTCTCCAGCACTGTAGTGTCACACATTGCAGTTTCACTGCCCTACAAATCCTCTGTGCTCCAGGTAATCAGCCTTTCTGACCCAGAATTCCTGGTAACCACTGACCATTAGTTACTGTTTTGCTGTTCAGTCTTTTCCAGAATGTTGGATAGTTGAAATAATATAGTATGTTGCCTTTCAGACTGGCACCCCATTCTGTGCTTGGTTTGGGTCATTCTTAATGTTTTTAAGTAGCTATTTTGTCCAGAAGACTGATCTAATATGAGCTACTCAGCCATTAGACAAGAAAAGTCTTAAGAATACAAACTGATATATTTAATAGTAATAACCAGAATTGTCCACAGTTCAAGATAGAAGTATCATAGGTTATCTTAGAACAGCTTATTATTATGGAATTTCAGGGTTGGAATAGATCTTCATAGTTAACTATGCTACCAAATGATAACAGGTTTAAAAAGTTAATCCTAATTCCCATCACACAAAATGGAATATCATTATTTCATTACTTACAATGCACCAGTTACCGAAAAATATGTTCTAAATAAGGGTAACAAACCTGTCAAGGCTGTTTCGCTTATAGATTTAATTTGTAGAAAAACTTCTGCTTTCAGTGAAGTCCAGTTTTGAAAATTATCATAAACTTCATTTTTAATACTGGTTAGTTCTCTTTTAGTAAAAGTAAGTAATGAAAGTGTCTTATTCCAGAAATGTTTGCACTCCAACAATCTTCGACTGTAAAGTAATAGAAAAAGAGAATTTTTAAAAACAGTGTGCATAAGAAAAATATTTCTCCAAAAAGTGGTTTTAGAGTGACCATCATATAATCTGCTGTCTCATTGGAGACAATTTTGAAAGCAAAAGAAGTAAAAGCAAAATCAAGCTGAATACACAGGGATGGGGATATTTAACAGAAGGAAAAGATTGGAGGCAGATTATTAATTAATAGATGCCTTTGTAGGAGCAAAAGACAAGAAATGTAAAATTCAAGCTTATTAGCCAAGAAGAGATCCATGTTCTTGTGGGACCTGAATGTAAATGATTTCTCAAAACACACACACACTCTCTCTCGCTCTCTCTCTCACATTGAGCCTCTGCAGGCTCAACAGAGAAGAAAGAGAACTCCTCAACAGGCCAATATCAATCTCCAAAACTGAAGCAGCAATAAAAAATTTTCCAATATGGGCATCGCCTGTGGCTCAGCGTGTAGGGTGCTGGCCCCATATACCGAGGGTGGAGAATTCAAACCCAGCCCCAGCCAAACTGCAACAAAAAAATAGCTGGGCCTTGTGGCCAATGCCTGTAGTCCCAGCTACTCAGGAGGCGAGGCAGGAGAATCGCCTAAGCCTAAGGAGTTGGAGGCTGCTCTGAGCTGTGGTGCCACCACACTCTACCGAGGGTTAATAAGTGAAACACTGTCTCAAAAAAAAAAAATCTTCCAATATGCTATTCATATTACGGTGAGACAGCAGATAACAACTAGGAATGGCTCGGGTAGAATAAGGTATATGGTCATTCTAACTCATTTCCATTTTGCCATTTTAACTACAAAGAAAGATAGCTAATTATCTTCATACATATTTATTTTATGAATCTTTTTAAATTAATTCAATAGCAAATATTTAGTGAACAAAATTAGGTCAAAGCAATTTAGTCATAGAGCCTAAATGAGAATCTTAGATTCTTAGGCTGCATTGCTACTGCATATTACGGTTTCACAGGCAATATCAAATAATAAGTAGGAGCATTCAAAATGACTGATCCAGTGTTTTGATTCATCAAATCTCACATCTTAAAGGAATCACATGCTTTTTGTCACCTCAGTGATTTTTATTACTTCAGATAGTAAAATAATGATTGGTAATAATTTCCTTAATAATCAAGATGCAGACATTAATTTGGGAGTTATCAGTGAAAAGGTGAGTGAAATCACAACAGTGTAATTATTTGACCAATATTTACATCCCTGAGTAAACTAACGTCTATAATACAGAGTTTATATCTTATCATCACAGTCTTGCTAGCATGTAGCACAATGCTGACCACACAGTACATGCTCAACGAACTGATGAATGAACGAATGAGAGAATAAAATATTAATAGATTCCTTCTCAGGTGGAGGAAGAGTAAGTGAGAAGTGCTGAGGATGATTCAATGAGCATGCAGAGCTGGGCGCTCAGAGGAGCGCTGATTTCAGAAACCAGACAAATAGTCCTAACAGGTCACTAAAGCAAGGGAACGAAAAGTGAGGATGGCACCCCTGCTGTAGAGCCAGGAAGACTCCAACAAGGCAGGGTGACAAGGGTCAAGAACTAAGTCAAGGTAAGGGGCTAAGGAGCCCAGAGTTTGGCAGCTGCAAAATCAAGCCACATACATAGGGATGGGGATATTTAACAGAAAGAAAAGATTGGATGCAGATTATTAATTAATAGATGCCTCTGTAGGAACAAAAGACAAGAAATGTAAAATTCAAGCTTATCAGATAAGAGGAGATCCAAGTTCTTGTGGGACCTGCATGTAAATGATTTCTCAAAACACACACACACTCTCTCTTGCTCTCTCTCTCTCACATTGAGCCTCTGCAGGCTCAACCAAGAAGAAAGAGAACTCCTCAACAGGCCAATATCAAGCTCCAAAATTGAAGGAGCAACAAAAAAAATCTTAAAACTAAAAAAAGTCCTGCACACCCAAAATTTATCAAACCTTCAAGGAAGACCTTGTACCTATACTGAAAAAATTATTCCTTAACACTGAGAGGAAAGGAATCCTCCCTAACTTGTTCTATGAAACCAGTATCATCATGATATCAAAGCCAGGAAAAGACACAACTAAAAAAGAAAACTACAGATCAATATCCCTTTTGAATATAGATGACAGTAGATATAAAAATTCTCAATAAAATCTTAGCGAACCAGATTCATCTGCATATCGAAAAAATAATTCATCAGGACCAAGTAGGCTTCATCCCAGAGATACAGGATAGTTCAACATATACAAATCTATAATTGTAATCCACAACATAAATAGATACAAAAAAGGACCATATGATCCTTTCATTAGGTACAGAAAAGACCCACCACATAAAGAGAAACAAAAACAAGGACCATAAGATCCTTTCATTAGATTAGCACCCTTGTATAAGAATGCTTAACAAATAGACATAGATGGGACTTACCTCAAAATTATAAAGCCTACATATGACAAACCTACAGCCAATATCATACTGAATGGGGAAAAACTGAAACCAGACAAGAACTGGAACCAGACAAGACGCTCCTTATCTTCCCTTCTATTCAACATAGTGCTAGAAATCCTAGCCAATCAGGCAAGAGAAGGAAATCGAGGGTATTCGAAATGGGGAAAGAAGAGGTCAAACTGTCGCTCTTTGCTGATGACATGATTTAATGTCTAGAAAATCTCAAAGATTAAACCAAGAGACTCCTGGAATTGATAAAGAAGTCCAATAAAGTCTCAGCCTACAAAATAAATGTGTACAAATCAGTAGCTTTCATATATACCACCAATAGTCAAGCTAAGAATCAAATAAAAGACATAATTCCTTTCTCAGTAGCACCAAAGAAAATAAAGTACCTAGGAATATATTTGACAAAGGAGGTGAAAGAGCTCTATAGAGAGAATTAAGAAACACTGAGGAAAGAAATTGCAGAGGATGTGAACAGATGGAAAAATATACCATCCTCATGGATCAGCAGAATCAACATTGTTACCATACTACCAAAAGTGATTTACAGATTCAGTGCAACCCCAATTTTTTTCAAATCTAGAAAAATTCATTCTGCACTTTTTATATAACCAGAAGAGACCCCCAAATAGCCAAGTCAACCTTATGTAATAAGAACAAAGCAGGAGCCATCACTTAACTACACTTCAAGCTATCCTACAAGCACTGTCCTGACATAGCACAGTACTGGCACAAAAACAAGGAGATAGACCTATGTATCAGAAAGGGAAACCCAGAGATGAAGTCATCCTCCACATTCTCATCTGATTCTTGACAAAACAGATAAAATCTATACTTGGAAAAAGAATCCCTGTTTAATAAATGGTGCTGGGAAAACTGGATAGCCATATGTCAAAGACTAAAACAGGATCAACATCTCTCACAACTCACAAAAGTTAATTCACAATGGATAACAGACCTAAACCTAAGGCAGGAAACTATAACAAATCCTAGAAGAAAATGTTGGGAAAACCTGTTGCACAGCCAAGGACTCAATAAAATAGCTAATTGACAACTCACAGAATGGGAGAAAATATCTGCATGCTATACTTCTGATAAAGGACTGAAACCAAAATCTACAAGGAACAACCAAACAACCCCATTAAAAAATGGGCAAAAGATATCAACAGAAACTTTTCAAATGAAGATATAACAGTGGCCAACACACACATGAGAAATGCTCAGTGTCTCTAATCATTAGGGAAATGCATATCAAAACCACAGGGAGATACATGTATCATTTACTCCACTGAGAATGGCTCATATTAAAGTCCCAAAACAACAGAGGCTGGCGTGGATGTGGAGAAAAAGGAACTCTTCTACACTGTCAGTGGGACTAGTGTAGAACTAGTGCAACCTCTATGAAAAATTCTATGGAGATACCGCAAAGAAATTAAAGGATACTACCATTTGATCCAGCAGTCCCATCCTGGGTATATACCCAAGAGGAAAGAAAAATGTCAACCTGCACTTGAATATTCATAGCAGCAGAATTCAGAATTGCAAAGACATGGCAGCAACCCAAGTACATTTATTAATACAACAATGGATTAATAAAATGTATATACATACTATGGAATACTACTCAGCCATATAAAATGGGGATCGAATATCTTTTGTGGCAACCTGGATGGAACTGGAAATTATTCTTCTATGTGAAACATCATAAGAATGGATAAATAAGCATATGTATTCAATACCAAATTGGATCTAACAGATCAACACTTAAATACACATATGGAAGTAAATCTCAGTGGAAATCAAGCTGGGGGGGGGGATGGGTAAATTCACAGCTACTAGGTACAGGGCACATTATCTGAGTGAAGGGCACACTTACTATTTTGACTCAGTCTGAACAAAAAATATGTAAATGAAATATGTATATCTCTTAATATTCAGAAACTAGAAATACAAAAATGATTCCTATAAAACTAGGTTAAAAGGTATATAATTATTTATAGAGGAGAAAAATCACTACAAATAAATTGGTTTTTATTTGTTTTATTTTGGTTTTGTTTTTTGAGACAGAGTCTCAAGGTTAGATTGCTGTGGTGTCAGCCCACTAAGCAGCAATCTCAAACTCCCGGGCTCAAGTGATCCTCCTGCATCAGCCTCCCCATAGCTGGGATTATAGGTTCTCACCACAATGCCTGGCTAAATATTTTATTTTTAGTGGAGACAGAGTCTTGCTCTTGCTCAAGCTGGTCTTCAACTCTTGAGCTCAAGAGATCCTCCTACCTCAGCCTCCCAGAGTGCTAGGATTACAGACATGAGCCACTGCACCTGGCCCAAATAAAATTTTTAAAGTTGATAAATTCCACTAATATGAAAATACAGAAAATGACTTTTTAATAAGTAACATCTCCGTAATATTTTTTGCCTACAAATTTTGGCTACTTGCTCTCTAATCGCCTCTTCATATACAAACCATTTTATATTACTTTATATGGAAAGACTATAAAGATACACAGTTTTTCATCTAGAATGGTCATTT